AGATTATTATTATTATTCCTCTTTTGTTAACTTTTTGATTTTAATATGTAAACTTAGTGCCCTGTCAAATAAAAATTAAAACCGGAAATGAAATAAATCAATATTTTAATAATGTAATTATTTAGTTAGTGAGTTGTTTTTTCTATTTTTTTTGGGTCAAAAGTGAGCCATTAATTTGTCAACAGATATAAAATGGAAAGTAAACCCCCTACCAAAAAAAAAAAAAAATGGAAAGTAAACTGAAAATTAATTTAGAGAAACTTTATAAATTGAGAATAGATTATTGCTAAAAATCAAATTAGAGAAAAAGTACACCAAACAAAAGCAGAACAAAAACTATCTCAACTAACACAAATTTAATTAGATTTTTTCCATAAATTAGATTTGGTTTATAAAAAAATATTGAGACCTAAACGATTGGTCACTTTTAAATACATGTATTATTTTAATTTGGTTTAGTTAGTAGAAAGCCAAAGTCATCTAATATTTATCTCTTTAATGACGTTTAGGTCCAATTTTCGTTAAGAAAACAAATGCTTTTCAAATTTTGCTACTTATGAGAATATTTTTATTCTGGATATTACTTTAGAGGAAAAAAAAACTAATTGGAATGTANATATTTAAAGAGTGAGGAAAATAGGAAAAAGAAACAATCTACTTTTCAGCGTTGAATGCAGATGTTCAGAGTACTTCAGCTGTTAAATTTCAGTGGTCAAAAGGAATTTAATTACTTGCACAAAAAAAGTTGTTTATAAATCCCACGTCATTCAATTTTATTATCTTTTCTTTTTTAATCTTTTTCTTTTTTTCCTTACCATCATGTTTCTCTTTATTTTATGGATGGTATACTAGAATGATCTTGTCAAGCAAAGATTTGGATTAAAATGACCTCTATCTTTCAATATTATTAGAATGACCTTGAAAAATTTTTAATTCCAATGTTAATCTTATTTCATTTGAAGACAAAAAACGTATTTACGAAACTGCCATTAATGAAGGCAAAAATTTTCCCGCCAAAATTAAATAAGTCTACCATTCTGTTACGGTAGATTTATTAAACGTCTGGTAGACTTATTACGGCGTTCGCGATGGTAGACTTATTTATAGTTGTGGTAGACTTATAATATGTGGTAGACTTATTCGTAGTACTGGTAGACTTAATTTTGGGATCGGTAGACTTATTTGTAGTAGTGGTAGATTTATAAAGTGGTCGGTAGACTTATTACGGTGCAGGCAGTGGTAGACTTGTTTATAGTAGTGGTAGACTTGTTGTAAGTAGTGGTAGACTTATTGTAAGTAGTGGTAGACTTATTGTAAGTTGTGGTAGACTTATTGAGTAGTTACGGTAGACTTATGCGTTGTAGTGGTAGACTTATTTATAGTTGTGGTAGATTTATTTTTGAGTGATAGACTTATTAGTGGTTGTGGTAGATTTATTGTTGTGATTGGTAGACTTATTGATGGTTCGTGCGATGGTAGACTTATTTATAGTTATGGTAGATTTATTTGTGAGTGATAGATTTATTAGTAGTAGCGGTAGACTTATTGATGGTTTGCGCGATGGTAGACTTGTTTATAGTAGTGGTAGATTTATAAGATGTGGTAGACTTATTTGTAGTACTGATAGACTTAATTTTATGATTGGTAGACTTATTTGTAGTGATGGTAGATTTAATTTTTTTGATTGGTAGACTTATTGATGTTTAGCGATGGTAGACTTGTTTAAAGTTGTGGTAGATCTATTAAATTTGGTAGACTTATTTGTGTTTGTGGTAGACTTATTAAATCTTTTCAGAGTTTTACTAGAATAACCTTACTTAATTACAATTGTGGTAGATTTATTTATTATAGTGGTAGATTTATAATATGTGATAGACTTATTTGTAGTAGTGGTAGACTTATAATATTTATTTATAGTAATGGTAGACTTATTCAATGAAGGACAAAATCGTAATTTACCNTTNATCTTCTCCAACACACNCAAGCTTATGTCAAACCCTAACAATGGCGGCCAACTCATTTTTTGCTCGTTTTTTGCTGTGTTTTAACTTGTTTTCAACTGGGTTTAGCCTAAAACTAGTAGATCTAACATNATATATCCATTTTCTAACAAAAAATCAAAAGATTTTAAGTTTTTTTTTCAACTTTTGATTTTTAGTTCGATTTTTACCTAAATCTCGGTGCTTCTGTAGCTTCCCCACCTTCGCCGAGTATGATCATGTGCTTCCGCAGCCTCCGCGACGGTGGTTTCAAACAAATGTTTTATTTATTGGTTTAAATAAATTCCAATGTATACATGTGGTGGTAGACTTATTGGGTAGTTATGATAGACTTATAAGTTTTTTTTTTTAGGTTTGAGGATGGCAGTTTCTTAAATAAAATAGATTACTAAAATTTATTTGTCTTTTATCGAGTTGTGTCAAGTTAGTAGATTTGACAAAATCATTCTAGTAATTACCCTACTTTCCAAAGTCATTCTAGTAATTAACTCTTATTTTATTTCATTTTTTTGTTACTTTTTTTCTTACCATCCTCTATTTAACCAGAATGGGACTAAACACAATAAAACATGTGATTCGGTAACTGATTTTAGTTACTTCCTCATGTTCGTATTTCGAACATAAGGTGTTTGTGTGTCATACCATACACTCAACCTTTCCTCGTATGTGTGATCCCCATAATTCG